AACAATTATAAATAAAAATATAATCAGCGGTTTTTGAAATGCATACTAACCTTAAAAAGAATATTCGGGGGTAACAAGCCCAAGACCCTCCAGTGGCTACACCTCTAATGTCAGTATACACTACAATCAAATTTTCCATTGCCATAAAAATGATAGTCATTAGGGTCATATTTAAATAACAACTCATCCTCAACCTATCGTACCGGCCAGCATTACCATCACCATTATACCGAAGAAAAAAAAACAGAAAATTCATCTGGCCATCAGAAAATAAGTATGTGATGTAATGATGTGATGGGACTCCTGTTGGCTGGCTGGTAACTCAAAAGACGGGTTAAAAACTGTTGAATCTCGGATGACAACTAAAAATAATTTCAGCTCAAAAATTTTTTGAGGTAGTCAGAGAAACATCACCATTGTGATTATAGTATTCATTCAACCAAATATATCTACAAGTTTTCTTCACGCAACTGTTGTAACGTAATTATATCATCATTTTTCATTATCATCATTCATCATCCTCCTTCATCATCATCTTCATCATCGTCATGGTTTCATCTTCCATTTTATAAAGTTTTTAACACCATTTTTATTGCCAAGACTTTATCATCATGTTGTTATTTATCTTTGACATCATTTTAGCATCAAGCCACAGTTAAAAAACCGTCGTCAAAATGACATTATTATAATTTTCCACCACTACCACAGCGTCATTATTGCATCGTCATCATGATCTCAATGACCTCATCCTTGTGACGTCACCATAACATCTAATCATCATTCCCACCATCACCATACAATCACATCACTATTTCTAGTAGCATCGCCAGCTAAATGATATCATCATCCTCATCACACATCATTACATTACATACTCACAACGCCACCATCATCATATCATTGTCGTAGCATCATCATCAAAATGACATCACCATTACATTAAATCACCACCATTTATCAGGATATAAATTATTCTTGCTATTATCTTACGGGCGCATATTTGGTACGTCATATTTTTTGTTCAATATATTTTTTAGTTTTGTTTCCTGTGGCTGTGTTTAGTTTTTTTCCTGGTGATTTTATATTTAAAAAAAAAAATATATAAGAAAATTTTTTTAATGTAGCAAAGATTTTTGTGAATTTTAAACTAATGCGATAATATCCAATGATTTTTTGACGATATTTACGATTCGATTACAAGCAGTTTTGTGTGCCTCACTATCTCCTCTGAGAGTTTGGCTAAAACGAGGCAACTTTCAATTACAAATCGCAATCAAAATTGTCAGCTTTTTAATAGTTTTTTTCTGCTCCATGCATTCAGATAAGTTTTTCTTAAGCTGCATTTCTTTTGTGCTTTTATAGAAAAAATTATTTTTGGAATTTGCTGGCCAAAAAAAAGTTGGATAATTTTCAAAGTAATGCACTGAATCACATTGGTTATTGAGAGTTAATAATGAAAGTGATGCCAGCGTCTCAGAAAAATGTCTACTGTATCTTTTAAACGTTTCAAGTGACCACAAACATTGATAAGATAGCTACAAGGCACCAATAAATAACGGTAGACGATTGTTTACGTCTGCCACAATGTAATTTACCAGCTCTTTAAACAGTGCAATCGTTGTAGCAAAACAGTTATTAAAATTGTTGCTAGATTGTTACGTGATTCATTTGTTGTATTTTGCTTTATTTAATCTATTTTCTGATTTATTGTTAATGGTATATGATTTTCATGATTTAAATTTCGTTAACCATTAGATAGCATAATGATAAAACAAACGTTCCCTGGCAGACAAGAAGTCATTATATCTTTTTTTTATTTAATTCTCTGTTTAATGTAATTGAATTCGATTGCTTCTTTGTGTACTGGTAAATTTTATTTATACAAATAAGAAATGAAAGTCATTTTTAGTACAAAAACATGCCACCGAGTGTACAATGTAATGCTATGCTTCAACTGATTCTTTTCTCTCTCTCTCTCTCTCTCACACACATATACACACTTTCTCACTACCTCTCTTCCATCCTCTTTCTCTTCCTTCCGACATTTTTTCACCTCTCAAGTTCTTTCTTTTTCGTGGTTTTTCTGGTTTTTTTCATCTCTGGCTCTCTCTCACTTTCTCTCTCTCTCTCTCTCTCTTTCTCCCTGCCATTACATTATTCTTTTTACCTCTTTTTTTCCTCTTTTGATTTCTTTCTATTTTTTTTTCAAAATTGTCTTCTCCCTCTCTCCCTTTCTCTCTTTTTCTCTCCCCCCCCCCCTTTATCTATCTCTCTCTCTCTCTCTCTCTCTCTCTCTCTCTCTTTCTCTCCACTGTATAATATACGTAGATGTATGTATTTGACGTTTTATAATTTTAATATATTCGAAAAAATTTTACGATAACAAATTTGCACTGGCAAGATATCATTAATTGGTGTTGTTTGATTGTTGTTTTGGCGGGTTGGGATGGTGTAATGATATTTTTTCTTCCTGGCTTCACAATCTTGATGTTGGCGTTGTTATATAAACTGATTTTAATGTTGTTGTTGAAGTTTTGCTCTTATCTGATTTTGATATTATTGTTGTTGTCTGTGTTGTCACAGCCAATCGAATTAACTTTTTTCTTTAAAACTGATCAACATTAACAAAAAAATTTGTCTTTTTTTTCATTTTGTTGCGAATGATGTTATTTTTCGAGGTACTGGCGTTTGTTTTGTTGATGCAGCTTGTTTTGTGTGAATTTTTCGTTGTTTATTTTGATGTTTTTGTTGTTTATTTTGTTGTTTTTGTTGTTTATTTTGATGTTTGTGTTGTTGTTTTCACTGATTGTGCCACATTTGTTAATTATATTGTTGTTGTTGTCGTTGTTAATGTTGGGATATTGTTTAATACCAATAGTTACATAAATTTTTGTGGATGTTGTTTGATTTGTATTTATCATTTTTGTTGATGTTGTTTGATTTGTATACACTGTTTTGACGATGTTATTTACCTGGTTGATATTGTTTTTGTTGGTGTTGTTTATTTTGTTGTTGTAAAGGAAGAGTCTCATTTGTCCCATTATAGCTCTGAACCCTTCTTTGAACGTATCAACGTTGACTTGAATTCTACACCTCTTTTGTTCTGTAAGAATTTTTAAACTATGACTCGAAAACCAATGAAAGTTTTGTAGAAAACTTCTGTTTTCTTTAAAAAAAAATACCATTCATTTATATTTGTGTTTATGTGAGGTCGGTGATAACTGGTCCCTAGCTAACGTTATAATAATAATAATAATAATAATAGTAAAGAAATAAAAATAAGAGTATTAATAATATTAATAATAAATCAAAAGATTCTTAAACTAATGCTAATAATCTATAATTCGAGAAGGAATGAAAATGATTCATGTTTTTTAGCGCATTTGACTACACTCTCTTTCAATCGTGTTGCTTGCAAATTCTGGCGAATAGTTTCTATAAAGTATTTAGAATTTATTCGATAGGATAAAACTGACTACTGAATTTTTTCTGAAGCTTCAAACGTTTATTTGTTCGTTCAGATCTGTTTTAAGCAGTTGAACGCGCGCATTAAATGACAGATTATTTTACTTAACTTTTTGACTACCTACTTAAAAATTTTACATCAAAAGAACAGAAATTCCTAATCTGAAATCAATTACTTGTTTTAAAACTAAAAAATCATTTCATATATCCAATTTTATACTAAAATATTAATGTTTAAAACATTCTCTTTCAATCTTGCTCTCTCCCTCTCTCACCACACATACACACCACACACACACATACACACACACACACACACACCACACACACATCTCACCACACATCTCACCACACACACATACAACATACATACACAATACAGTTTGGCAGATAGATTTCACAGATTTTGTCATTTAATATTACACGACAAAGAAATTAGTTCGGACACACGGACACATCAACGATCATTGGCGGATTTACGAGCAAGAATATTCAAATAGAATTTATTTACATAGTTAATTTTTCAGTCCAGGCAATTCTGTGATCGGTGGAGCGAGAACTGACGAAATGACAAATGAAAGATGAGGCAGAAAGTATGAGCTTCATGATGAAGAAGTTGATGATGATGACGATGATGATGAAAAGGATGATGGTGACGTTGATGACGACGATGATGAAATTGATAATGTTGAATAGGATGATGACGATAATGATGATGATGACGATGATGATGGTGATGACGATAATGATGAAATTGATGATGGTGAAGAGGATAATGATGAGAATGAAAATGATGATGGTGATAATGATGATGATGACGATGATGATGATGAAATTGTTGATGGTGAAGAGGATGATGATGACGATGATGATGAAATTGATGATGGTGATGTTGAGGATGATAATGATAATGACGTTGGGTAAGTGTAGGATGTAAAGAAATGCGATGCTTAAAAATTATTGTCCAACAATTATTAAGACATTGGCGATGATATGATGACAAATCGATTGAGATACTCATTATGACTTTAACAGATGTATTAACAAAGATTTTTAAAATAATTAACATGAAGACGACGACGACGATGATGGCGATGATTATGATCACTTCTCCGCAACAAAAATATAAAAAGAAGTGGAAAAGAGGTCAATGACCTGTCCTACTTTGATGTATCTGCGTGTTGTTGTTCGTGGTGTTGTGCTCGTGTTGTTGTGGTTGCTGTTGTGGTTGTTGTTGTTTGGGGTGTTGTTTTAATTTTTCATAACAGTGTAGTAGTTAGTGATGCTAATGTTATTTGTTGAGACTACTAATCTTTTGTCGTTGGTGGTTGCTGTGTATTTTTCAGTAGCGTTAACTGTTGTTTTTTTCTATTTATTATTTTGGCTTGAGAAAAAACTGACAAAGAAACTAGACTAGCATATTGACAAATTAAAATTTCATTGCTGACGTAACTGTTTTTGTTTACTTTTTCAACATGTCAACACGCTCGATGCTTCCGATCATGATTGTTATATACATCTGTTAATAAACATCCATGAGGAGGTCCACACTGAGATGGTGCTGCTTCTTCTTAATTGCGGATTTCATTAATGGCCTGCAGAAAAAAAGTAAAAACATTCCTGCTATTGAATTCACTTGATGATATAGCGCTAAATTTTATTGCAAACGAAACGACAAAATTAAATCAGAAAATGTTTCAAGTAGCTTTATTTAAATTTTAAAAGATGATTGTATAAAAATTTTATTGTCTAATTCTACAAAAAAATAGGACTTGAGTTATTCCAGAACGTCATTAGCGCGGATATGGTTGGGAAGTGTATGATAGTGAATCAGAATGGGAGCGAGGAGGAACTCAAAAAGACCGAGCTGTTGTTCTCTCCAGTTCTGAGGTGCCAGGGTGATGACGCACTCATCTACGCACTCACTGAATGTTTGTCAGATGATATCATTCAAACAAAAATTTGAAAGATTTTATCAAGCAATTAATTCATTTCTACAAATGTGTGTCAATATTTTGAACTGTTTGTCAATTATTGGGATATTTCAATCATAAAACAAATAATTTGTTTATGATGTAAAAATATTTTTAATGTTGAATTTCAACCGAAAAGGTTAGAAAAAAATTACTGACTGTTGATTCTTCTAAACCTTGGATGAATGTAATAGACTTTTAACCTCTTGACTTTTCTGACAAAATGTATAACTTTCCAGACAACCGAGTCATCGTGACCTACCCAGACGCCAGAAACATGCAGTGGTGCAGTCAGATCAGATTCGTGCACAAAACATTCGGGGACAACTCGCTGACAGTCCAAGTGCAACCAGATCCTGACTTTAAGAACTGCACCGTCCTGCAATCCAACAAAATTAGCCACATTCTTACTACCTGCGTCAGAGTTTCTTTAACGTTACTTCAATGAAAATTATAATGAAATTAAAAAAAATTGAGTTTAGTGTTATTGTATGCATTTTTCATTCATTATTTAGCATTGCCGCGATCAAAATTCGTTAAAAGTTGAAATTAACCTTTTAGACAAACTAGAATACACCGATTATAAACCACAATTTCTGGTTTTTAAATTGGTCTGATATAATTGAAACTATTTTGAAACTAAATGAAACCTTCAGAAAGTAGAGTTGCACCTGCCATGGAATTTCACGAGTTCAGCAGCTCCACCAATTGATCTCTACATCAGCAGTCAACATACAAACTCCGTTCCATTCGCTACAGTCCACCACAAAAATTTCAGTTAGCAACTAATTTTTTCTAAATTATATTTTATTTATTTATAATTTATATTATATATTCATTATGTGAGTTAACGAATCAACAATTCACTTAAAAAAATTTCATATCCTTGTCGCTGTTTGAAAGTACTCAATAGAATTAGAATAAAAATTTTTATGAGCCAACCGTCTGGTGATCACAGAACTATGAAGTAAGTATCTCTAATTGGGTCTGCTTGCAGGACGCGTGCATAACATACGCTTCAACAAGTTGGTGGCCGGGCGAGGCGAGGACATTTCATGTTACGCCGATGGCGATCCACAAGCGACGTACTGGGAAATTTCCGTCATGGGCTTCCATAAATACCTTCACGATCAAAAAACCTTCAAGACAGCTAACAACACCATAACTTTTTTCAAGTATGGAAAGTTTGTTGTGACATGTGAAGCCAGCAACACACTGGATGGAGCAACTTTTACCGCCAATCTAACAAAAGATGTAGGCATTTCACCGAGTGGTTGGTCACTTTTCAAGTTTCTTGCATTTGCCTTATTCAATTGTGTAGTGTCAAATTGCAGATTCTAACGATTAAAACTACTGATCCTCAAAAATAAATAAAAACACCACAAACTAACAAAGCAATTTGTTATGGGCTATATAAGGAAAAACTGCGACACTGATAGATATTCGGGCTGTTGACGAGTCTCCGGTAGGGACGAGACGAATTTCCAGCCTGTCCAAATGAATAATATTTTTTCTTCCTTTCACTGCTTTACTCTTACATTAGTGCAACGCAACAGTAGCAAACGTTATTAATAACGATTCAACATTTTCCGGTTTTTTAAAATTAAAAAATTATTCATTCTTTCTAACAATATTTTCATTCATATGGTTTTAATATTTTTAATTATAATATTTAAATTATAACTATAGTAATTTTTAACAACTAGAATCAATGAGAGTGAGCGGTAAGTTGGGCAAAGTGGGTACAGTGGCCTACATTGTGTTGTCTGTCTTCGTGTTTGCCCTCCTGGTCATCGGTGGGCTAGTGGTCGTAGGCAAAGGTCACTAGCATTATTTCCATAATTTTTCGAGAGTGACTGAAGTTATTTCAATGATTCATTAAGAGTGACTCACTTCATATCTATGTTAGTTAACAAATTTTATAATAAATTTACTCAAAGAGTTGATGAATAAAATCAATCCAGACCTTTGTCAGTCGACAATTTTTATCACATTTTTATACGTAGAGTTGATAAATACATAATGATAGTTGCACTTTTAACGATTGCAAAATATAAATAACATCAGTTGAAACATTTTATACGGAATATTGAGACGTTACAATATGAAAACTACAAGTTAAATTGTAATATCAACGAAAGCAATACTTAAATAATTTTTTCCAAAAGTTTTAAATAAATCTGTCATTATCGTTCATTTCTTATGCTTATTTATTTATTGATGTTATTAAAAAATCAGTTGAGTAGCTCTCATTACCAAGTGTTAACAATGCAAGTTATTATTTCAAGATTGTTTACAATCCCGTCTTTTCACTCCCCTAAATGAAATTCAGTCGTTTTGACGAGAAGAAACGCACTAACAGGAAGTTTACAAATCGACAGAACTTTACAGGCTACCCTGGCAGCACAAGTAGCTTCAAACGAGGAGAACTTGCCCACGGAAGAAGCAAGCCCCTCATCGTCTGAAACTGTAAAATCTCATCCACCTCTTAGTACCAATGGCACAAATTCCTCCATAAATCCAGCTAGTCCTTCTAAAGCACAAAATCCACCAAAGGGTTAAAACTTCCATGTAAATTTAACATTTTTTTCAATAACTATATTATTTTAAAAGAGGTTTGACCCTAACAGAATTTAATTTAAATTTTTACTTTTACTGAGTTTTACTCTTTAAATTTTATATGTAGTTGTATGATTAAGAAGTGTTTTAATTCACTTGAAGGTCTTTCTCCTCACATGAATATATCAATCACAATATTAATTTTGACCATCAATGTTTTATTAAAATAAACTATATCTTGCTCAAAATTTCATAATTTTCATATTTGAATCGATACATATCGATGATTTTTATATGAAAATAATGATCGATTTCTGTATTTATACTGTTAATATATGATTTGGTTTGATTGACTTTGTTGTTGCTGAAATATTTCAATAATTTCATAACAAGAGCCAAAAAAAAGTAATAAGAACAAACAAACATAAAACGACCATTTAATCAATAAACAACAATGTACAGAAGACATTAAAAATGAAGACAACAACAACGACGACGTCTCTACAAACAACACTAACAACAACACCAACAAAATCCATAACAACAGCAACAAAAACACAAACAGAAGCAGCAGAAGCCAGCAACAACATCGCCGTCATCACCATCAATAACACCCACAACAACATCAATGAATGGTAGCCTCAAAAGATTTTTGACCTGTCCTGACCTTTGACCTCCTGGCTAAACACACGCTCACAATTAGTATCGTTGATAGGAACTAAATCGTTTATTGCGTTGTCTGTCTACACTCGTGTTTGTTTGTCAGCGTGACTATGTGTGGTTGTGTGTGCGTGTGTGCGTGTGTGTGCGTGTGTGTGTGTGCGTGTGTGTGTGTGCGTGTGTGTGTGTGTGATGATGAGAAGTACAAAAATAATGTTATTTAAAACAATAACACGGAGAAAAAAAATCTCAAATTAAAAAATGCAGTGCATCTTTCATCTCAAACCATTTCTATTGCTTACGTTATTATGATTTACTGATTGATACTGTAAAGTTTATTGCTAAGATAACTTAAATTCAGTATTTCGAGCGCTATTTTAAGCAGTTTCGACTTAAAAACTTGAGTTAATTAATAAATAGGTTGGTTATAAAACGAACGTTTATCATTTAACTATAGAAGCCGTTCAAGAAAGTGCTTCAAATTGCTACCAAGTAAAAAACAACATGTTAACAGTAACATGTAAAACGTGACAACAAAACAGCACATCTGCAAAAAACAACAACACGGACCACAAAACAACACAACTACAAACGGCGACAACAGCCATTACATCGGAAACGAAAAAAGTCCTATGACCTTCTCGAATGACCTCGAACTCTGCATCTGTTAATTGTGTTCTCCTGCTCACGTGACTCTTTTTATCCAATGCATGACGACGAGTCATGCGAAGATTAATGATCATAATTTGGCAAATCAAATAAAATTATTTCTGCAAGTAGAACTTTCCATTTTTGTGGGATTCATTTATAGCAGAATTTTTAAAATAATTTACGAATTAAAATTGCTAAAAATTAATGAATTTTAACAAACAACATTAAATTTCAACAAGCAACATTGCAAAAATCTTTCCAACTACGCAAAAGTTCTTAGGTCGTGGCAGTAAGTTAGTTCGCCTTTGTGTTTCATAGTTATTGCGTTCTTGCGTGTTTCATAGTTATTAACAGCTAAAATAGATCTACAAATTTTTGAAAAAGTTTTACGAGCAATTAAAATCAAACCGATTTTTGCAGCTGTAAATGTTTGTACGCTCTACATTTCAACCAATTCACGTACCAATGACGAATTAGCGAAACTTCTGCTGTGTGACGGGCCTCAAAATTTTACAAAAGTCGAAATTTCTGTACAACCCAACATAAATTTTTCCAGTAACTTTTAAAAAAAACGTTATTTATATATATATATGTATATACGTAATTGATTAAAAATTTTTAAATTTATTGTCCTAACTTCCTGGCCAATTAGTTTATATCGCCTCCTATTACGTTGGATGAATCATTCAAATTGTCTGTCTTTTGTGGGAGTCTGATAATTGAGTTTTCCATACTTTAACTTCTTTGGTTCACTGACCCATGTGATGTTTTCTTTGATGAGCATCATTATTTTTATTTGTTGTCAAACATTTTGGGGTCGCGGTAGGTTGGTGTTGTATCAAAGGAGGTAGGAGTTGTTTGTGTTGTTGGTGCAGTTGTTGTTGTGCTGTTGTTGCTGTAATGTTGTTGTGCTGTTGTTATTGTTGTGTTGTTGTTATTGGTGCAGTTGTTGTGCCGTTGTTTTTGTGAGATTATTAATGCTGTTGTTGGGTTGATTTTGTTGTTGTTCTTACTGGTGTTGTCATTGTGTTGTTGTTGTTGTGATGTTTTTAGTGTTGACGCAGTCATATAGTTGTGTTGTTGTTAAATGTGGTGTGATGGGTGCTGTTATCGTTGACGCAACTTTATTCAATTGGTGTTGTTAGGTTATTCTTGTTGGTTTGTTATAATTGCGTTTTAATAATTTTACATAATTTCAACACAATACTGCAAAAGGTTTTGTTAACTCGCTTAGTTGTTAACTGGCTACATTGAAAAGTTTCATTTTCGCGACATGCCATTTCTGAATTTTTTTAAATGATAATAAATTAGTAACGATGAACGTATAAACGTATGTAGGTTTTTGTTGTGTGAAACATTGTATTCGTTGTTATGCTGTAGTTAATGTTTGTTTACCATTTCGTTATTGTTTTGTTGTTATTATTGTTGCTGTTATTGTTGTTGTAATTGTGTTAGTAGTAGTAGTAGTAGTAGTAGTAGTAGTAGTAGTAGTAGTAATAGTAGTATAATAGTAGTAGTAGTAGTGATAGTAGTAGTAGTAGGTTGTAGTAGTAGTAGTGGTGGTGGTGGTAGTTGTTGTTTGTTGCTGTTGTTGTTCTTTTGAAGATCGTTGGCTAAATATTTGCAACCCTAGTAACCATGGTAACAGAGAGAAATGTTGTCGGTTGACGAAAAGTAGGAGGTGATGGGGTTTCATGTCGTCGTTGTCAACGCGTTTGATGTAGTTGTTAATGTTATTAATGTTAGTACGTGTGGTTGGTGTGGTTTGTCTGGCTGACGTAGTTGATGTAGTTGATGTAATCGATGTGGTTGATGTGGTCCATTGTCGTTAATGTTTTTGATGCTGTTGTTGTCAGTATTAATGACAACGATGTTTCTGTTGATGTTTGTTGATATATTTATTCTAATAAAAATTTTTATTCTAATGTTATGTCATGTTATTGTTGATGTTTGTTAAACGGGCGTTGTATTCTGCAAAACAACTATAATCTTTAATTGCAATACTAAAATATATAAACGTCAGCTTCACGCTCAACTCATGAAACACATATCCTATGATATGCGAGAATCACCTAGAGAATCATTTGTAACTGCAGAACAGACAATTGCAGAAGCCTTTAACCATTGTGCCACCTCGTTGCATAATGTAATTGTTATACAAATGCAATTGTTGTGTAAATTTAATTCACAAATAAAAAAATATATATATATGCAATTATTCATTTAATGTTCTTTGATATAATTGCGCGGATAAAAATACGGACGTGTATATTAATAAATATCTTGCACAAGCACACACGCACGCACGCACACTATATGCTTATTATTATTATTATTTATTATATATATATATATATATAATGTATGGCAATATGTTTAGTATATATATACATGAATGATTAATTATATGATGAATTAGAATTATGATTTGTCATTGAGTAATTACTATAATTACATTATAATAACTACCTCGTGACTAGGACGATGATGGTGGTGATGATGATGATGATGACGATGATGATGATGATGGTGGTGGTGATGATGACGATAACGATGTTAACGACGATGATGATGATGATGACGACGATGATGGTGGTGGTGACAATAGTGATGATGATGATAATGATTGCGATAATTATGATTATAATTATGACCATGATAATAATAATAAAGATGTCAAAGATGTTGATGATGAATAAATACTAAGACGCCAGCACTGCAAATAAACATAACGAAGGTTAAATAAGGGTTGAGCCATGATGATAATAATAATAAGAATAATAATAATAATAATAATAATAGTAGTAGTAGTAGTAGTAGTAGTAGTAGTAGTAGTAGTAGTAGCAGTAGTAGTAGAAGTAGAAGTTGTAGTATTATCTTTTTGATTTTTTCTTTTTGATGATGATATAGATAACGACGAAGTTGATGATAATGATGACGACGATCCTGATAACGATGACGACGATCATGATAACGATGATGACGATCATGATATCGGTGGCGACTATTTAGAGGTTGTGTTGGAAAAGTGGCTGTCGCGATCCAGAGATGCAGTAAATCCCAGCAAGCAAGTAAGTAAGCAAGTGGGACTACCACTCGTAACAAACGACGTTATGTCGTGACGCTACCTACATTCAACAAATCGTCTCATAGGCGGTACACATCAAATAGTTTCGTTTGTTCGTGTCGAAAACTGTTTTCTTTTTTTATTCTCTCTCTCTCTCTCTCTCTCTCTCTCTCTCTCTCTCTCTCTCTATCGTTCTCTTTCTCTCTCTTTTTCTCTCTCTCCCTCTCTCTTCCTTTTCCTCTTTCTCAACATTTTCTATTTTAGGTTTTTATATTTTTTAATCGTTATTTAATTAAACAAATAACAGTTGTATAATAACAGTTTTTAGATTATCAAATGTTCAATTGTTCCTTCGTTTGTTCGTTTGCTCGTTCAACCATCCGTTTGTTAACTTGTTCGTTTGTTCGTTACGTTATTAGTTAACTCGTTCGTCGCACACAACGTTCATGCTCGCTTCGGTTAGTTGGTTATTGAGCAATGAATCAAGTTTTTTTTTCATTTCGATCGAGTTCAGTCAATTATCTAAAGTTTATTGGCAATCTTAAAATTTTATTTTATGGCATGGTATTAAATGGAAAATTTAAATTGTAAACGTTAAATTTATTTGTTTTTGTTTTTACATTTA